TCATAAATTTACTCACTGTTTTAACAAACTGTTGTGTTTACTACTAATATTTTATTATAATATAAAATATTATATTAATTACATTATAATCTTCTTATTTACGAAATTGGTAAAGGTAAACATTGGTTTGACGCTTGATAGATGCACAAAATAATAGAGGTTAAAAAGGTACCTTCTTTATCTCTGCAAAAGATGCGTGGAACTCAATTTTGCGTTCTCGGTCATTGTACACGTGCGACATGTTTGTGCGGGCTGGATGCTCCCGTGTACGAGTTTTGGTTCGTCCCGCGCATGACGTCACTTGATGAGTAGTTGCCGTGAGAATACAGGAATAATACTTATATTATCAAAAAAAATAGAGAAATATCTGGACATACCTAGTACGTTTTTATTAAACTTAATATTGAAGAAAGTGTTATAATATGGATAATAGATGCTTTCAGTCCTTGAGAACATTTAGGGCTGGTATTTTAAATTAAACTTATAGTCACTGTCCAGAAAATGTTTATAGGAAACAGAAGCGGTCTTAACTTTAATATTGTCTATTCTTTTTGTGGTATTTAAACACTGTTTCCACAAATCAAACTTTTTCGGGAATCGATTAAATTTAATGTTTTTATTTAAAGGTTTTTTCTTGGACTGGTTGACCGAAATGCATCCAAATATGCCAAACCGCATTTTAATAAATGCAAATGGCACGACACAAACTAAAACACAAACAAAACAAGTTAACGCAACACAAAAACAATAATAAACAAACAGAACAGGTTAACATAACGCAATATCAATAATTTGAACACTGAAAAGTAATTCTAACCTTACCGAACACAAAAACAACAAGTTAAACAAAAAATAGAGCAAGTTAACATCCAACATCATCGCAAAAACAAGAATTTTAGCAGCAGATAATTAAAAAGCACGTTAAAGATTTAAAAACACTCATCAAGTGACGTAGTTAAGCCCCGCCCAACATGCGCACCATCCTATCTTAAGGTGTATGTATCTTGTGTTTGTGGACCCCCCACTCCTCGAATTTTTATGGAGTTGAAGCTCCTGAATATAATCTTCTTAATCGAATCGAACGACAGATTATAAAGAATCGAACTCTTAACGTCAAAATATATTTGCGTCACAAATAAGTGTGAAGTTAGTTCTTCTTCTTCTTCTTCTCTGGTTTGATTGGCCTTTCCCTTCCGGGATTTAGCCAGCTGTATTTTATTATTATTATACTGGAAAAAGCGAGTCTAGGATAACCTATAGCTTCTCCTTTTCTTCTTGGTTTTATAGTTTATTAATTATTATTATTTATGTCACTTTTAGATTCTTTTTTCACTTATAGTCTTTTTATTCACTTATGTCCATCACTATCATTTTTGTCTTTTTTAGAGTTTATTCAATAAAGCTTATATCAGCAGCGGAAGTCACTTTTATTACACTTTTACACATACAAAATCACGATATTAGCAGCGGAAGTTACGAGGCAAAAAAAAAAAACCGACTAAGCACCACATGGCTGTTTGCAGAAATATATTCAGTCCTTCAATATAACGATCATCCTTTGTGGAAATCCCTTGCATCTTTACCAATCTATTGTAGATTTTGTGGATTCAACAATTATCAACTTATGTGAAGTTAGTTATTAGCACCAATCCTTTCCATTTTTAGTCAAATTCCCTAGATACTAAACTGCTCGTCATAAAAATCGACGCACCTAGTTTTTTGGAAAATATTTGAAAGCTCGTTATTGAAAAATTACTGAATCGATTTTGAAAATCTTTGGAAATTCTGAATAGCTGATTCTTTGACTCTTATGTCAAATTTTGGGAATACGATATTTTGCACATAGCATTATACTACAGGGTGTTAAACGAAGAGATGTATTTTTTCCGAAATTTCAAGTTATTCCCATTCATGAGGCAGTTGAGTTTGATAGTCGTAATACCCCTCCCTAATATAAGTAAAGTAATCCCTCGGAACGTTTTCGAGATTTTGTGAATATCGCGGCTTACTACGATTATATGCCAATTTATCGAAAATGGTCGTTTATTACCCAGTTTAGTCCAAAAAATGGGCAACAGTGGATTCTTTGACTTACGTCTAATTTTGAGAATAAGATATTGTGCACATAGAATTATACTACAGGGTGGTAAAACAAGGGATGTTTTTTTTCCAAAATTTCAAATCCCATTCATAGGGCAGTTGAGCCTGATAGTCGTAATACCCCTTTCTAATAACAGTTAGGTTATCCCTCGGGACATTTTCGAGATGTAATACCCCTTCCTAATAACAGTTAGGTTATCCCTCGGGACGTTTTCGAGATTTTGTGGATATCTTGGCTAACTACGATTATATGGCAATTTTTCGAAAATTGTCGTTATTTCCCAGTTTAGTCCAAAAAATAGGCAATAGTTGATTCTTTGACCCTTATGTCTAATTTTGGAAATACGATATTGTGCACATAGCTACAGGGTGTTAAAAAAAGAGATGTTTTTTTCCAAAATTCCAAATCCCCATTCACAGGGCAGTTGAGCTTGATAGTCCTAATACCCTTCCTAATAACAGTTAGGTAATCCCTCGGGACGTTTTCAAGATTTTGTGGATATCTTGGCTAACTACGATTATATAGCAATTTTTTGAAAATTGTCGTTATTCTCCACTTAATTCCCAAAAATGAGCATACTACGAAAGGTATCGATTAGTTATCAACACATCGTTTCCCCAATTTGCATGTTCTTGTGCCCATCTTCTTCTAGCAGAAAAAGAGGGCAGGCAGCTCTTCGTCTTGCGTGGTATGCAATCTTACATCCGTCATTTTATTTTTTAAATGTGATTTGCTGTTTGAAAAATGTTTTCATATTCGACGACCAAACCAGATATGCGCCATATTTTTTAAACTTTCATAGTCAACCGTTTGTAGAAAATTGCATGAATATAGCCTGCATAAGTTTACGAGAGTAATTTTGTTTGGTTTGCGTTTTTATTTTGAATTTAACCGAAAAAAATTGGTTTTGTGTGAAACATTTCACTTTTAATGAATCACGCAACGTACAGAAACTGGAAACAAGTGACCTACCTTAAAACGCTGTGTTGATACCTTCCGTAGTTTTCAAACAGCAAATCACATTTAAAAAATAAAATGACGGATGTAAGATTGCATACCACGCAAGACGAAGAGCTGCCTGCCCTCTTTTTCTGCTAGAAGAAGATGGGCACAAGAACATACAAATTGGGGAAACGATGCATCGCGATGTGTTGATAACTAATCGATACCTTTCGTAGTTTGCTCATTTTTGGGACTTAAGTGAAGAATAACGTGAATTTTCGAAAAACTGCCATATAATCGTAGTTATTCAAGATATCCACAAAATCTCGAAAATGTCCCGAGGGATTACCTGTTATTGGGAAGGGGTATTATGACTATCAGGCTCAACTGCCCTGTGAATGGTGATTTGGAATTTTGGAAAGAACATCTCTTTTTTTAACACCCTGTAGTATAATGCTATGTGCACAATATTTTATTCTCAAAATTAGACGTAAGTCATAGAATCCACTATTGCTCATTTTTTGGACTAAACTGGGAAATAACGACAATATTCGATAAATTGGCATATAATCGTAGTAAGCCGCGATATTCACAAAATCTCGAAAACGTTTCGAGGGATTACCTAAGGTAATTTACCTTACTAATATTAGGGAGGGGTATTACGACTATTAAACTCAACTGCCTCATGAATGCGAATAACTTGAAATTTCGGAAAAAATACATCTCTTCGTTTAACACCCTGTAGTATAATGCTATGTGCAAAATATCGTATTCACAAAATTTGACATAAGAGTCAAAGAATTAGCTATTAAGAATTTCCAAAGATTTTCAAAATCGATTTAGTAATTTTCCAATAACGATGTTTCAAATATTTTCCAAAAAACCAGGTGCGTCGATTTTTATGACGAGCAGTTTAGTTAAATTTTAAACCATAGTTAAAAATCACGGTGCAAGATTTTGTACACTAATCCCCTGTTACCTTTTAACTGATCAGTTAGAGAAAACGGTGCTAGTGGCCATTACAAATACAAAAACTACCTTAAGGTTAAAGGTTAAAAATTTTTAATTTAAAATTTCAATCAAACTAAAACTAATAACTAATGATTACTTGATTTTATTCATGACTAAAACTAAATTTTTAATCGTGATTAATTTAGTCATAACTAAAATATTCACTATTTTTTTAGTTTGATTCGTCAATCGATTGAAATTATTAGAGACTAAGCTCAATTCTGGTAATGAGACACCTCTTACTAAATTACATGGATTTTATTAAAATTCTGTTTCCACACATAAATTTGTACAAATATAAATACTGGGCTATAAAAATATTCTATTAAGGCCGTATTACAGCCGGAAATTCTTCTTGCAGCAATTATTCTTGCCATCAAGTTTTCAAGGCCGTATTGCATGTTGTTTTACAGTCAGCAATGGCAAGACAACTTGCTGTTTATTACCGTGCTACCAACCGAAGAAAAATATACGATTTTGTATACACTAAGTTTATTTGTTATTTAGTAGAGATATTTAAAAATTAATGAGTGAAATGGATACTAGAACTTTGAACACAATGCCAATCATAAAACAAATAACCTTAAACTGTTTAAGTCAAACAGTGTCTCTCTAGGGAATTTGTAGTAGGGTTGGTAACATAAAAGTTACCAGATTTCACCCCAGAATTGCCGTAAAACGGCAATAAAAATCCATCCGGACCGATTTTCGGCAATTGCAAGAGATTCGTCGAAATGTATCTACCGCGCATGCCTACGGCAATTTTCATTGCAATTGCCGAAAGAATTGCCGGCTGTAATACGGCCTTTACAACATTACATTAAACCTCGTTTATCCTAAAAAATGGCCAAAAGAGCAAAAATAACCTACTTTTAACTTTTATTTCCTGCTTCATAAAAATATGTGCACAGGTTGTATTATAATGACATACTTCATAAACTTGCAGGACACCAACGGCTACAGCAAAAGCTTCAGCGGCTACCAACAAAAAGACATAATGAAACGCCCCAAACCCGTGAAAAAAATAATCCGACCCGTACAGCATCCAAGTCCCATAGGCAGTCCCAGTCCGAACGCACTCAAATCCCCGCAACCCTCTACATCGCCACAAAACACACTTCAGTCGCAACCGTCGCCGCATTCGTCGTCAGCGCCGCCGCCCGCCAAAAAACCGCACCTCGACGACACGCCCGTACCGTCGCCCGTGGCGACCACACCGAACCCGCCGCCTGCGTCTCCCGACTCCACGCCAACGGTGACGATGACGATGATCAAGCCGAAACCCGAGCCGATCGACCATTCGGACGAGCCGAACATGTCCGAGGACGAGATGAACATGGACCCGGCCAACCTGCTCGACATGCAGCTAGGCGAATCGTCGTCGTCGTCGTGGCCGACCAATCAGGACGCTTCCAAGTCCATGGCGCACGATACGTCATCGCCAGGTAATACGATTTATTTATATCATTTAGTTTTGAGCATCCTACAGTTGATTTTGCATATACATAATTTGAAAAACAGTTGAGTGACATTGTACTCAGGTTGTGTAAACATCTTGGCTGGTACGAGTTTAATTTTGAAAATTATTAAACATTAGGGAATTTTAATAATTTATTAATATTTTGGTAAAGTTTTTATTCTTGGAAATTTTGAAAATTTAAACCAAAAAAATTTTATCCACCTTATTGTGCATGCAATCCATCTCCCAGCCAGATGGGAGAATAGGTGTCCAAAAGAGCTTTTTTATTTGTAAAAAATTGTTAAAACATTAGTTTTAGTTTTATTTGTCTTATCTTTTCTTAATGTTAAATCCAATTTGCCGTCAAAATTTGGAAAATAATCAAAATTGTACATTACATTCTCTTTTAGTGCTATAAATTTTTTTTAATAATAATTTAAGAGATAAAGAGAGTTTCAATTTTCTCAAAAATGTTGATAAAATTAGTAATACTACTTTTCTAATTCCATTTTTGACTAAAATATAAACCTTTTTTACAAGATCAAATATACCATGCACCAAAAATGCCACAATGTTTTTGCCAATTTTGCTTGCTAAAATCCAAAATTAAAACTTTTTGTTCATATCAAGATTAAATATACAATTTGTAAGATATTTAACAACAAATTCCGTTCACGCACATTAATAAATTTTGCCAAGTTTGCATTCTGATATCTAGAAATGTTGAAAAAAAAATGAATAAAATAAATTTATTTCAACGTTTGGGTATTTAACATATTTATGCTGTTCTAAATTCAGTGGTGAAATCCATTTTTAAAGTTAGGTCATTTTTTCGAAATATTGTATGTTAAACATTTGACGTTAAGTGCTCCAATCTGCTTAAATGTTAATCTTTTATTGAAATCGTATATTCATATTTTACAAAAATAGAATAAAATGAGGCCTGTCAGAGCAAAGTCAACAATCTCCCGTCAGACTAAAACTGAGTAAATTGAGATAATTGATTTTGGTATTTTAAATTCTAGATTTGTAATTTTTTTTATATATTAAATTGAAATAGTGTTGTTGTTAGTCTAGTAGCCAACTACAAGGTCTCCAGGATGCATAGTATAGGTGAAATCTATAATTATAAATTGGAGATTGCTAACTTTGATATGAATTGCTGGAGATTGCTCATTTTGTTGTAAACGTTTAAGGGGGTTTAGAAAAATAAACAAAAAAATAATTGTTTTTTTTTTATTCCTTTAATGGGTATAAAATTTAACTATACAAGCAATGCGAAAATTCTGAACTGGACCACATAAATCTGGAGTTTCTTCTAAATCAGGTTGCCTTGTGCAAAAAAGTTTTTATGGTACAACAACTCATCATCTTCTTCCCACTTTGCCCCGTAATGTTTTACTTGCAATGTTTTGACATTATCAGCCTTTTCTTGCTTTACCTTTACGTCTTATTATGGTATAATAGCACAAAATAAACAAGATATCTTTTTTTATAATTCTTAAAACAATAAAACGTATATATGGTTCATTTCACGTCAAATTTACCGACAAAATTTAAATTTGCCTGAAATATTTTTTTTTTCGTTTACGACACCAAAAAAAGTGACACGTATTTTTTTGTTTCAAAATTTTATAAATTATGTTAAAGTTACAATTTGTTTTTAATTTCAGTACCAGAAAAAAATAATTTTAAACAGTAGTTTTTGAATAGAATAAGATTTAATAAACTTTAATTTTTTTTGGCTTAATTTTAAGGTTATGCATTGTTTTAAATATTTAAATTAAAAAAAAAATAATATTTTTTTTAATTCAATTTTTTTAAGCAAATTTTAAAAATTAATAAAAAAAATGAAAATCGACATTTTTTTTTTAAATTTTTAAAATGTGTATGAACTTGTCAAAGTTTGCAGAACATTGTATAAAAATTTCAGAATGGACCGTTTAATATCGTATGAAATATTAATAATTTTAGATATCCGCGCTCTTAAAATGAAGGCTGTTACAGAGGCATATTTAAGATAAAGCACCATGGGCTATTAAAATTACAATTAGGGATGGGTTAGATTATATTGGATTATATTATATGTATTTTAGAATTAAAATTGCATCAAGGTTGTAATTTTTAATATTGTTTTTTACCATTAAAAACTGATTAATAATTTAAACAAATGTACAACAGTGTGTTAATTCATGGTTAGTTGCACATCGATATTTCATGTGTTAAAAAAATGGGTGCAAACAATTTTTATTTGACAAAATTTTACATTTTTTTATTCAGGAGATGCAATTTACTCCAAAATAAAAAAAAATCATATAAAAATTAAACTCACATTATTATTATTATTTTACAACACAAATTACTTGCTTTTATAATATTTTATTTTATAAAACTAACAGTTTGGAATATTAAACTCGAAGAATACGTTTTTATTTTAAAAAAGTTATTGTCCGCCGGTTCAATGGAATGTATTTTTTGTGTTCCCGTAATGGTTTGACACAATCTAAAACGTTTTTTTTAAGTTCTGCGGCTTCATAGTCCTTTTCACTAGTATAAATGACGGATATATTGCTCAAGGAAGAATCCTTTAAAGCCCAATGATAAAACTCAAGAGCTGTTATTATATTATTGCCCTGAAGGCTAGCCTTTCGTGCTTGCCTTTTCAAGGCTCCTCCAGCTCCGTCACAAGGACCTTTTCCGTGGGCTGTGGCTTGATAATGCCAAGTTGCAGAGCGACCAAAGTCTCGCTTATGATTATAAATTGTTGAAAAATGTTTAAAGTTTTTAAATTGTTGTGGTGCTCCATCAGAAAAGTAAACAAAATTATTTGTGGGTAAGAGCTAGAAATAAAATTATTAAAAGCTCGCAAAAAAACGTACACTGCTATGGAATCATGTTTTTTGCAATCAGAAATTATGACCAAGGTTTTATGGCTAATGTATCCATTATTAGTAAAATAAAAAACAATTGGAAAAAGTGTGGCCTGGTTGTTATTCCAGTGATAACCTGGAACGGCGTTTTGAATAATAAAAGCATAATTTTCGGCAAAATCACATACAACAAGACTTTGATCGTTCTGTAGATTGTTTTTAATTGATCTGTAATAGCTTGCTTGTTGTTCTGCGATGAAGGAATGTAAAAGAAATTTATAACCAGATGTTAAAAAATTTTGTATGTAAATTTCCACTGGGACTTTTACGGTTTCGAGGGCTGTTCGAGGTTTCGAAATCCATTGTTTATGAGTGATTTTGTTGACGTGGTATTTTTGAATGGCTACTTACGAATGGCACCAACACTATTTTTACTAATGATTTTTCTGCAAGGGGCACATAAAAGATCTGATGAATCCAAAAAATCAAACTTTTTTAACATTAATTTGGACGCCTTTCGCAAATTTGTTTTATTGTTTTTTGCAATATGCGAACTTTTACGTAAAGGGTTACAGCACCGATCAGAAAACTTTTTATTTGGAGGCATTTTTACCAAAGATGAACAAACAATAAATATAATAGAATTACAAATTTAACAAATACGGGGTAAGAACAGATTACTTGTGTGACACCAAAAATCAAACTACATCAAACTCAAGATCAAACTATATGATACGTCAAACTAATTTAACGACATTTCATTAAACTCGCCTACTTCGCTGTAAAAAAATATGATAAAAATATACACGTTGAGACTTTTCTTAGTGTAAAAAAACTTTTTCTAGAACTAATAAAATATTTAACAATAAAAATCGTCGTAGAGTGGCTTTTACTAAAAGTATATATTTGCAATTCTCTGTCAATTTTATAAATTAATGGTATATTTATCTAATTTTTTTATAAGAAGTGGCAGACATTTATTAAGCAATATTAAACTTAAAATCCAGGGGACAATAAATCAGTTTTATTTTAGAATAAAATATTAAAAAAAAAATTTTAAACTAGGTATTTTATGAAATTTGCTTTATAGGCTTGTGTTTTACTCCTGCCCCCAAAGAAAATAAATAAAGTTTTAATTATTAGCTTATCACTTTAACCATTTTAAGGAATATAATTTTTTATTAATATTGCATTAAAAAATATAAAATGGTAAAATTTCAAATTTCTGTTCGTAATTTTGAATGTTAATCGTCAATATTTTGCGATATGTCTCTGTAACAGCTTTCATTTTAAGAACGCGGATATCTAAAATTATTAATATTTCATACGATATTAAACGGTCCATTCTGAAATTTTTATACAATGTTCTGCAAACGTTGACAAGTTAATACACATTTTAAAAATTTTTTAAAAAAAATGTCGATTTTCATTTTTTTTATTAATTTTTAAAATTTGCTTAAAAAAATTGAATTAAAAAAAAATATTATTTTTTTTTAATTTAAATATTTAAAACAATGCATAACCTTGAAATAATGTCAAAAAAAAATTAAAGTTTATTAAATCTTATTCTATTCAAAAACTAATGTTTAAAATTCTTTTTTTCTGGTACTGAAATTTTAAAAAATCGTAACTTTAACAAAATTCATAAAATTTTGAAACAAAAAAATACCTGTCACTTTTTTTGGTGTCGTAAACGAAAAAAAAAATATTTCAGACAAATTTAAATTTTGACGGTAAATTTGACGTGAAATGACCCATATACCTATTTTAAATATATTTTTAAGTGCAATTTACTGCAATAGAACTTAACAGTACGTAGCAGTAAAAAACACAAAATTAAATCTCTAAACTACGTTATAACATCAAATATTAGGATATCAGGTGACACAAATTACTAATTTCTAATGGTGGAATTGGAGATTTATACTTTGCTGCAAATCTATCAGTGGAGATTATCGACTTTGCACTAAATGTCATTTTTAAAATAGGATTTTAGGCAGGATTTGCAGCACATAAACTTTATCATCTTATAGATAACACTGTGCGACAGTAAAAATCTCAGATAATAAAAGTCGAGCGCTCGAGGATAGCTGATTATGAAATAGTGCCACCCCAA